AAGATTCGAGAAGGACGTGGCGTGATACTAGTCACGTGACCTCGCTGACGCAACAATATATATATACTGTGCATGTTATTTTCTCATGTTAATTGTTATTACTTAATTATAATTAATAGTAGTAATATTTATACGGTGGTTTTTAAAACTTCAATATTTTCAAATCTGTACTTTCAAATGCAATTTATACGCTCCTATAGTCCTAGTTGCGCATCCTCTTTGGGAAGCGCGTCTCACAGTTTGCGTACCACATATTTATTTAAACAGCTTTAGTCATTACATTTCCTGTTAAACAGCTGCATGTTATCGGGAAAAGCTAGATTACTGCTCAGTGTTAGAATGAAAGAGAAGGTCTACATTTATGTAAACCGGAAATGTGTGACAAGTTAAGAGTTGACGTTGGAAGTTTAAGAACTGGGTTGGAACATCTCTTGATTGTAATTAGGTAAAATTATAAGAACAGCCTTAAACTTACGGTGTTTATACTAGTGCTAGTAAATGATATTAATATTGAAATAACATTAACAGTTCGCAATAACGTTTGAGTTAATTTTGAGAGTGAAACTGAAAGACTAAACTCAAGAGACAGTCGTACTACAAGTTACAACTCAAGTCTGTACTGTGTAGAGTAATTGAGTGAGTGGAGTATTACCATACTACAGTACTAGAAATTACAAGTTCGTGTAGCGTTCAACATGAGAAAAGATCTTTCAGTTTCAGTGAAAGTTTCCCGGTTTACTGTTGTTACATTATTACTGTGTTTTCTTTCCTGGTCAACGGCAGAGTCTCTTTACAGTGCGTTAGATGCAGTTCTTCAGCTGAATTCTTCATCTTTTCAGGAAAGTGTTTTTTTAAAAGATAATGCATGGATTGTGGAATTTTATAGCAGCTGGTGTGGTCACTGTATCAATTTTGCACCACTGTGGAAGAAGTTTGCGAAGGATATCCAAGGTAAAACATTATTATAGTAATTAACAGGAATACCAATACTAATAAAAAGTATACTATACATACATATATATATATAAATTTTATCCTTTTAGTTTCAATATACCACTATACTACAGATTTTGCTTACTCAGTATATGGTATAGTGAATTCGAAATTTCTAGGATACGCTGTTTTGTGTATTGACCCATCATTGACAATCACTAGAAATAGAATATAGGCCAAGTAAATCATGAGTGCAACCATAAATTCATGTTTTAAACTTCAGGCCTTTGAGTTTTTTGTGTGTTATTGATAACAATAGTATATCTAGATATGATGTTTTAATCTCAAATTACTTTGCAAAGTTGTTGGTTTTTGATAATAGGAATATATAGAATATTTCCTTGCCATAAAATTATTTATAACAAATTTTGTATCAAAGAGTAGATATTACAGTGAATTATATGTACCTTAAATTAACTGCTTAGCTATAAATATAATTAATTATCTGATTATTCAGCCACACAATTTTTGGCTTATTCAAAATTATTTTATAAAACAGCAAAATTAATAAATTTGGTGATCTCAAAAACTTAGTTTCAAATTTCTTAAGTATAATTTCCTTATTTCTGGAAAAAATGGACAGATCACTTTATGCAATTTTTATCATGGTTTTATGTAGTAATAGTAAGCATAATATATGTTCAGAAAAGTTTTCTATAAAATTTGAAATGTTAACTTATTTTATTGTGTAAAAGTATTTCAATACAGGATTAAAACTAACCAGTTTAAAATATGATTTTTTTACTTGAAGCTTGGGACAAAGTTGTTCGTGTTGCTGTTGTAAACTGTGCAGATGAAGTGAATGTAGACTTGTGTAGAAAATATCAGGTGGAATATTATCCTTCAATAAAGGTAAGCAGAGGAACAATTTTGACATATGAAAATATAAAACTTAAAGAACCTGTGGTCCATCTTGACCATCACATCCACTAAACATTAAAAAACAAAATAGTAACAACTGGCTTGCATATCCAGTCTTTAACTTCCTCCAAAACCCTTGAATAGATATTACCTGGCCAAGAAACCTTTAACCATCGTTCTTTAAACTTCTCATTGTTTTCTTAACCCATTCAGAAATAATCTGATCATCTTCGTTCAATGTTGTTTCTATTTAGCAACTGTTCAGTCAAGGAATATTGCTTAAATGTAACAGAATTTGCCATTTGTAAGATTGATGATTGTTATACATATCTGTTTTATTTTCATGGAAGTTAGTATTAATTTATTCATGGAATGTTAAATTATGTCAGATGTAGTAGGTCTCATGGGTGTTAATTGTTGTCATTATTCAAAATCCTATGATCATTATGTATTGCTATAACTCAAAATACTTTTGTTTTGCACTGTTTTCATTTAAATATCAGTTAGACAGCACGGTTTAACTTTTAGCAAGAAATTTGCATATGTTAATATAGAAGAAATGCACAGATGTAGGAAGAAAGATATAAGTTATAGAATCTGGTATGTATTATATTTGGTGTATATTCCAGCCTGATAATACATTGGTCATATGTCTTTCTTTATCTTTCAATTTTGAGTTATTAAAAATGTAATATGTTTAGAAGAAAAAAATGAAGTTAAGTAAGCTTCTAATGACAATGATACTTTATATTCTCTTAGTCACAGTTCACTTCTTTTGACATTATGTATATTTTATTTATTTAGTAAATAATATATTTGCAATGTAAAATGATTAAATACTGGTTTGGAAAATTTTTATCTTGTCAAATGGTGTATAATTTCAAAACTGATGGAATATGACCACCTTTATCATAATAACTTTGAAACATTAACAGTATTTCAACTTTTTCTGTGGTAAACCAGCCAGGTCAGTATGAGAACTCACTAGAATGACTGGGTTACATAGCATTACATGCATTATAAGATAACATTCAGCTAACAAGAGACTGTATGATTCATCAAGATTGTCCTTGCACACCCATTCATAAGAAAAGTAAAAATTTAACTCCACCTTTTCTTCTTCATGAAATAATTAATTCCTCTCTTAAACGCCTGTAAAGTGCTGGTCTCCACTGCTTTTGTTAAGATAAAGTAAATTATCTTATCCCATTCCTGTAAGATAACCATTCCATACTAGAAGATAATACAAAAAACTCAGAAACCTTTAATGTATTTATCACTCAGATAATCTTGTGAACTTCCGTAAGATCACCTGTCATTTAATTTTTTCAAGAGATCTTAATTTATCCCTGTAAAATAACCCCATTGGGCAGACCCCATGTTGGAGAAGGAAGTTTGAATATAATTCCAAGTTCACCAAGTGTATCTACATGAAATGTGGCAAGCTTTTAGTAAAATGTACAAGTCTGTTGTACACAAAAAATCAAATGTGTTACAAAATTATTTGTACTAAAGATATGCCTGTTGATTGATCATGTCAGTTTGACTTAGACTCTGACAAATTGGAGTGCTAGACGACATTCATGTGAAGAATAAGCATACATCTGTCCATCATACAGTTTGCATATTGTATTTGCATAACCTTCAAAATGCATTTCAACAGTTTTTCACAGTATATCTGCTTATTGTATCTAGTATTTACTCTCCTCTATCATGAATACTAAATCAGTTTGCTTTGTTTTGAATTTTGCGCAAAACTACATGAGGGCTATATGTGTTAGCCATCCCTAATTTACCATTGAAAGACTAGAGGGAAGGCAGCTAGTCATCACCACCCACTGCCAACTCTTGGGCTACTCTTTTACCAACGAATAGTAGAACTGACCATCACATTATAATGCCCCCATGACTGAAAGGGTAAGCATGTTTGGTTGGATTGAGATTCGAACACGTGACCCTCAGATTGTGAATCAAGCATGCTAAGTCAGGATAAAATGAATAATTGACATCAAATACCCGATACAATGTTAAAAGGCACTCTATAATAGCTTGTGGCATGTGCACTTTGACCCCCAATTATTTTATGTTATACTGTTTGATACTAATAGGTAATTGATTACTTGAGTTAATCACCAAACTCTATCCCTTACTCTGTAAACATTTTAATGAACTTATTCTTCAATGCAAGCAGGCAATGGTTCAAATCTATTAGAGAGTAGAAACTAGTACTTGAATGCTAACTGAATATGTCTCTATGGCTTTATATTTCTTACAGCTGTACACCCTTGTAAACCCAGTGCTCATATTCTCACCTTCCCTCAAAGCAAACTTTTATTATAATTCTAGAATTCCAGTCTTGCTTACTTGTTTTTTCTCCTGATCTCCTATTTTCCCCTCTCTAATCAAAGATATCTCCAACTTAACCTTGAGTAAACAAGCTCTGTAACTGGTAATTTATCTTTCTGAGCATCCTGAAAGCTGCAGCCAAAGTCGACAATTTACAAACATAACCAATTTTTGACACCTATCACACTGTATAAATTTCACCTCACTTACCTCTAAACTATAATTAACCCTACTGAAGTTGACTAATCTGTATTTTCTATTTCCAATCTACCCACCTAATAATACTGAGAAGACGTCAAGTTATATGGCATATAATTCTGCAGTTGGCAAATTATTACCACTTTTAGGGTAAGAAATATGCTAAATAATAAGACTAATGATAGGTTTACTTGTCAATAGCTGATTTGTAAATGGTTTAAATAATTACAATTCAGTTGTTTAATCTGTTTTACACCATAACAGTTTCTGTTCATGAAAATTGGTGGCATATATAACTCCTAGACCACTACCGTGTCGATCGTGCCTCAGCCGTTCTGATGAGCTTTGGTATTGGGAAGTCGGCATTATAATCACTGGATGTGGCAGATGTAGTGTGGTTGATATATTACAACATTATTTTAATTTGCTTTCATTCATTAATTCTTAGAGTTAACTGGTCCCATAAATGTTTCAAGTAAGAAGGACATATATTAGCATTTTACCTTCACTTTTTTTTTGCAAACCAGCTGGCCATTGACAGTTTCCTATAACAAACTAAGTGTAGTTTCATGCTATAATTCACTCTTCCTCTTAAAAACCTTTAAGGGGCCAATAGCAACTGAAGTGTTTAATGTTTTTATAAATCTTTGTGATGCTTCTTATAATTATCAGCTCTGTTTTCATATTTTACAATGGTAGCTTGCAGTTATATGTATTAGTTTTGTAAATAAGCCTTTATTTTTTTTCTAACTCAGTATTATTTTGAATTTGAATTTAGTATTTCTGGATCCAAGCAGATGAAAATAGTTTGGGAAATACATCTTATAAGGAAGACAATATTACCAGTTTACGACATAACCTCATCGATTTTCTGACGGTAAAAGTTAATGAAAGCACTCTGCTACCATCTGGTTGGCCAAAGTTTGATACTGACAAGTATGCATTTAAATATTCAAAAATAAAATATTTTCAAATGTCATATTTTTTACAAATTGACTTCAGATTGAATTAGTTTTGTAAGAGTGTTTTAAGATTGATGGTTTAAATATTTAAACTTTAATGATAAATTGATAAGTATAATTACTTTTTAAACAGACTTATTAGTAGAATTGGAAGTAATTTCTGACTTTTATGCACATATTTGAAGATCAAGCTTTTTAGAAAAGCATTGGTAAATATTATTTTACACTTGTATCTAATACGTAAAAAAATGTATTTTTTGTAATTTGCCTAAAACCAAAAATGACTGTTGTATACAACCTTGTTATTAATTTTTAAAGTTGTTATTTTGTCAGTCTATATAATCCTTGTATTGGTATTGTGTATATGCCTTCTTTTATGATCCTGTTCATATTGAATATTTTTTTAAATGTATTCTGATCCCTTTAATTATATGTATATATATTATTGGGCAACAAAACATGCACGTACGTTTTCAGTGACAATTGGTAAAACTATTCATGTAATGATGAACAATATTTTTTATTGAGATGAATACTACAACTAAGATGTGATATTATTCAAATCCTTGTTCTCTGCAAGTTAAGAAGAAGCATTTTTCATACTTTGCTGTCTGTAAATAAATATGTTTTTTTAATACCTTCTTCTCTGTGATGCATTTTAATGCGAGTTAAATAGTTGTCTTGTCTCTTCAAGAAATTCTTTAGTTTTTTTCTAGATCAACTGCTTGTGTGTGTGTATATATACATATTTTTGTGTGTGAAATATCAAAATTAGATCATTGAGATATTGACTAATACACTAAAATTATGACCTTGTTATATATACATGCATGGAAGTCGCCTTTAACCAAAATCTGCAAGAAGTGCTTACCCTGTCAGTTCAGGTACTTGCAAGTATTTTATGATTGGCAATTATCTAAAACAAATCAGCAGTGAATTCATTCAAAAAAAATTCACAAAATTTAGCTCAAAAGTTTGAATGAAGTATTTTATTTATCCATTGATATTATTGCTGTTCTCATACTCAGTAAAATCAGCCACTATATATGTGTCACTCAACCACTGCAAATTTCACCCATCATAACCCAAAAGTTTTATTGGTGTTACTTCCCTTAGTTTGGCTATTAATTTTTTACCCCCTAAAAATTTTTTAGCCATAAGTTAAAAATGCCCAGAGTGAGCAGTGACAAGTAGTAATGTATTTCAGGATAGTGTGCTAAGCTTGGGTTTGCTATTTTATATTTTTGTTAATGACATTGATAAAGGAATAAACATTAAACTAATTGTCAAGTTATTGGACACTTCAAACTATATGAAAGGTGCTAAAGTCTTACAGATAGATTTATACTTTGTGGTGAACAGGGCTAATACCTCGCAGGTGCATCTTTAATCTTTATAAAAGAAAGGATATATATATTGGTTATCACAACATTAATTATTCTTACAGCTTTGCAAGGAAAACAAAGTAAAATTGATGAGGAAAAGGCCTGGGTATAGCTATTTTAAATTCTCTTATGCCTTTTATACAATATTTATTTGTTATTGATAAAGCAGACAGGATTTTAGATTAGAAATTTTGAGTAAAAGTTAAAGGAGATCACCAGTTCATTCCATCTGTTCACAAGTTCAGTTTTTAGAGATCTTGAGTGGAGAGAAAGGATACAGTTTTAAAGATCAACATAATATATATATATATTTCTGTTTGTTAAAGTAATAATAAAATAAAAATTTCATTCCTACCTGCAGTTTACTGTTTTCCATAACTTCAAACAAAAATAACTTGTACATTTTTCATTTTAATATTAAAAAAACTCTGCATGTAACATCAAAGAAAAATATGTCAAATATAAACAAAAACACCTTGACTAATTTTAAGCTATTGATTCATGAAATTGAAAATAAGGAAAAGGTAACTATCATATTTTATGATGTTGAAGTTTTAACTGCTGTTACCCTCATACTAAGGTTCAGTGTTTGAACTGTCACGAGTTTTTCACTGTACAAAATTGTAATGATTCTTAACGTTTGTAATTTGTCTGATATGTGTAATTTTACAGTATATGTGTTTATATACAGAGTAGCCCAAAAGTAGTTATACAGTTACATATGGGCTTTTCGTTCTGGGGAGTACTCAAGGACAAAGTGTGCAGTAGGAAATCTCAGAATGTTGACAAAATGAAAGGGTACATCACAGATGCATTTACAGAACTTGATGGACAGACAGACCTCTGTCATAAAGATTGCAGAAGTGTGGCAGTCAGACTCACGATTGTGTGAACAGCAATGGGTTTCAATTTGACCACCTCCGGGATTAACATTCCCATTATTACATGTCATGTGTAAAGTGCCATTAAATACGTTATCAGTTACCAACTGTATACTTTAATTTCTTTAAAATACATTATCAATTATCAGCTGTATACCTACTTTTGGACCACCCTGTGTATATATGTTAGTGAGAATCAGACCTATACAAAATAGAAACTAGCTATTCTGGTTTAGTAAAATGTGATCTTAACTTTTGTGACCCCCCTTATCACTTGTTTCAGTGTTGCAATCCAACTGCACCATAGAATATATTTCAAAAAAGCAGAACCAACAAGTTTCCTCTTACTGATAAACAAAAAATATTTGTCTTAAGTCATAAATATGGGCATAAATCTGCAAGTATTGAGTAGATATTTGTACAGAGAAGTGCATATGTACATGTACATAACCTCCAGAAACATTTACAGCACCAGTTGTATGTCTTAATGTTACAAAACCTGCACAGCTGTATTTCTCTAGATATTACTTATATGTAAGCAAGAGTATTTATTTGTAGTAACTACATATGTTGACACTACAAAAATCTGAACAGTTGTTCAGGTATCGTTAAAGAACTTGAAAATGTTATCATAGTGCAATTCTATATCTTATAAAACTGCCCTTTGTCATAGAACCAACCTGGCTAGTAAATGTTGAAGATCACAATGAATTGTCATTAGCTGTTAGAATATCCAGAGGATTATAAAGTAACCACATAGCATACGTGTCTGTATACAGCTGTTACTCTCAAACACACTTACATGTAGTTGAACACTTATTATGCAATTCTTAATTCTGTTTTTAATATATAAAATTTCAGGACAACAAATGATTGCTGGTTTACCCATCCACTAAGTTAAAAAAAACAAAAAAAACATTCAGTCAGTCCTTATCATTTAGATATGTATCAAGCTTTCCCTTAAAACTCTTTTAAATTAACTGCATCCTCCACATCTGTTAGAAAATAAAACTTTCTTAACTGAAGATGACTTCTTTCCTGTAAAAATTTATATTTTTGTTCCTTAGTCCTACTTTTCCCACACACAAGTATAAAAAAAGATGATGAATTGGCATTAGTAGTTCCCTTAAAAATTCTATACAACTCAATTAGATCCCGTATTATCCTAGTAGTCCCTTTCTGAACCGTTTCCTACAATTCAATGAATGCTGCCCTTCTTAAGATAAGGAGTCCAAGACTGAATATGATACTCCAAATGTGGCCTAACTAGTGACCTCTATAGCAAAAGTATAACATCTTTGGTGTTCTATTCACTATTTATGTAGATACAACCTAAGATCCATATTTTCCTTACCACTAGCAAGCTGCTTGGATGGCATAAGAGACTGATCAGTTAGAACACTAAGATCCTTTTCTACCTGGTATAGTTATCAACATATTTTTATAACCTTAGTGATGAACAATGATAAGGAAGTTATTAAACAAGTTGAAGATGAGTTGTAGATGAAACATGAAAAGTTACTTTGAAAATATTCTTTTTTTTGCTTAACTCACGATTTGAGGGTCGCGGGTTTGAATCCCCATCCCACCAAACGTGCTCACCCTTTCAGCCATGGGGGTGTTATAATGTGACAGTCAATCCCACTATTCATTGGTAAAAGAGCAGCCCAAGAGTTGGCAGTGGGTGGTGATGTCTAGCTGCCTTCCATCTAGTCTTTCACTGCTAAATTATGGACGGCTAGTGCAGATAACCCTTGTGTAGCTTTGCACAAAATCCAAACAAACCAAATCTAAAATCAGAATCTTAAAAATTTGATCATGAAACTGATGGTAAACAAAAAAAATTCTTTTTAAAATGTTTTACACTTTGGAAAAAAGGTTTCCAATATCTTTGAAATATTTCTCCTTATAAAGGAACAAATTTGAATTATGAGTAATAATTCATGTATAAGAAATTCTTAGTGTTCATTCACCTTTTTAGTTTTTATAAAAGTTATTTTGCTTACGTGTTTTCTATGATATTATTTTTGTGTTGTTGTTTGTTATTAAGCATTTATCAGGCCACTCATGGAATATAGAAGTGCAGTAACATGTCAGATAACCAATACAAGAAACTACAAATTTTACAAAACAGAGCAACTAAAATTGCACACAGACTGCTGAGCTACACACCTCAAGAATACCTACACAGCATTACCAAGTTACCAACAATCAAAGATCGCTTTACACAACTTGCCATGAAATTTTACAGAATAGCCAAAAATAGGAACACACAGACCAAACAGTTCAAACAATTAGGTCTAACACCAGAAACTTGGAACACATACATATCACCATTCAATTACATAAACAGCCTAGAAAACACATAAAACACTCACCAAGTAACTGAAAGAAATTTTTTTTTCAGCTTTGGGCACTGGTCAGGTAGATTATTTGGCACCTGTCCAGTGAAAGTGGGTTTTCTCGAGGTACTCCCGTTTCCCCCCACAGCAAAATTCTGAGAATTGGACCACGGTTCTCCTCCTAGCCCTGAAAAGGACTGACAGACGGCCTCCTCCCCACCCAAAATTTTTTAGCTCTAGTGCTTTATCCCACCCGACGCATCCTCGAAGGTGTCGCTGCCTGATTTTTCTAAGCTTAATGTATGCTCCAGACC